TGAAGGCCATAACTAGAGACAAAAAAAGGCCACTACATCATATTGAAAGGATCTATCCAACAGAAAGATATAACCTTGATAAACATATATGCACCAAATATAGTAGCAGCAAAATATATTAAAAATCTTCTGGAGGACTTCAAAGGAGAAATTGACAGCAATACAATCATATCACGGGACTTCAACACCCTGTTGACATTATTAGATAGATTCTCAAGATGAAAAATTAACAAGAAAACAGATACTCTAAATGATGCACTAGATCAAATGGATTTAATAGATATCTACAGAGAATTACACCTCAAAACTGCAGAATTCACATTCTTCTCAAGTGCACATAGGACATTCTCAAAGACAGACCACATGTTAGGGCACAAACTAAGTCTCTACAAGTTCAAGAAGTTTGAAATCATATCAAGCATCTTCTTAGATCACAATGGCATGAAACTAGAAATCAATTGCAACAAAAACACACAAAGACATTTGAACACATGAAGGCTAACTAGCATGTTATTAAACAATGAATGGGTTACCAAGGATATTAAGAAAGAAATGTAAAGCTTCCTGGAAACCAATGAAAATGAACACAGAACAACACAAAATCTATGGGATGCAATGAAAGCAGTCCTGAGGGGGATGTTCATAGCACTACAGGCCTACCTCATGAAACAAGAAAAATTTCTAATTGACCATCTAACCTCACAACGTAAAGAACTAGAAAGCAAAAAAAAAAAAAAAGAAGAAAGAAAAAAAGAAAGAAAACTTCAGAGCAAGGAGAAGGAAAAAAAATAGTAAAGATCAGAGCAGAAATAAATGACATAGAGACTTAAAAAACAATTCAAAACATCAATAAAACAAAGAGCTGGTTCTTTGAAAAGATAAACAAGATTGATGGACCCTTAGTTAGACTCACCAAGAAACGAAGAGAGAGGACTTAAATAAACAAAATCAGAAATGAAAGAAGAGAAGTAACAACTGACAACACAGAAATACAAAGGATCGTTAACAAATACTATGAACAATTATATGCCAACAAATTGGACAATCTAGGTGAAATGGACAAATTCCTAGAAACACATAGTCTCCGAAAATTGAACCGGGAAAAGCTAGAAAACTTGAACAGACCAACAAATACAAAGGAAATTGAAGATGTAATCAAGAATCTCCCAGCAAACAAAAGCCCAGGCCCAGACAGCTTCATGGGGGAATTTTACCAAACATTCAAAAAATAACTAACACCTATTCTCCTCAAACTATTCCAAAAGTCAAGAAAAAGGAAGACTTACAAACTCATTTTATGAGGCCAGCATAATTCTAATTCCAAAACCGGATGAAGACTCTACAAAGAAATGAAACTACAGGCCAATATCCCTGATAAACATAGATGCCAAAATCCTGAACAAAATAGTAGCACATCGTATCCAGTAATACATTATAGAATTATTTACCACGACCAAGTGGGATTCATCCAAGGGATGCAAGGCTGGTACAATATTTGCAAATCAATAAATGTGATACACCACATAAACAAAATGAAAGATAAAAAACATTGATGCTGAAAAAGCATTAGACAAAATCCAGCACCCATTTCTGATAAAAATGCTCAGCAATGTGGAAATAGAGGGATTATATCTCGACACAATAAAGGCCATATATGAAAAACCTACAGCCAACTTCATAATCAATGGGCAAAAATTAAAAGCATTTCTCTTAAGAACAGGAACAAGACAGAGATGCCCACTCTTATTTAACATACTACTGGAAGTCTTAGCCACAGCAATCAGATATTAAGAAAAAATAAATGGGATCCAAACTGGAAAGGAGGGAGTGAAACTATCTTTATTCACAGATGAGATGATATTGTATATAGAAAATCCTAAAGACTCCATCAAAAATCTACTAGATTTAACAAATGAATTTGGCAATGTAGCAGGATACAAAATTAACATCAAGAAATTGATAGCATTTTTATATACCAATAATGAATTCACAGACAGAGAAACTAAAAAAAAAAAAAAAAAAATCCCATTTACCATTGTGGCAAAACAATTAAGAAACCTAGGCGTAAACTTAACCAGAGAAGTAAAGGACCTCTTCACAGAAAACTACAGGTCATTGAAAAAAGAAATAGAGGAATATATAAAAAAGTAGAAGCACATACACATACCTTGTTCATGGATTGGAAGAATTAACATAATTAAAATGTCCATACTACCCAAAGTAATCTATAGAGTCAATGCAATCCCCATCAAAATACGACAACATATTTCAGAGAACTAGAAAAAATATTTCAAAAGTTCATATGGAACCAAAAATGATCCTGAATAACCACAGCAGTCTTGAGAAAGCATAAAGTAGAAGAGATAACAATACTGGATATCAGGTTATACTACAAAGTCATTGTAATCAAAATAGCCTGGTACTGGCACAAGAACAGGCAGACAGATCAATGGAACAGAACAGAGAACCCAGAAATTGACCCAAGACATTATTTATGCTCAATTAATATTTGACAGAGGTGGCAAGAGTATATAATGGAGTAAAGACAGCCTCTTTAATAAATGGTGTTGGGAAAATTGGACAGCTACATGCAAAAAAATGAATCTAGACCACCAACTTACACCATACACAAGAATAAACTCAAAATGTATAAAAGTTATATGTGACTTGTAAATCCATAAGAATCCTAGAAGAAAATGTAGGCAACAAAATTTCAGACATCATATGCAGAATTTTCACCGATACATCACCAAGGGTTAGAGAAACAAAGAAAAAAATTAATAAATATGACTGAATCAAACTAAAATGCTTCTGCACAGCAAAAAAAAACACCCAAAAAACAAAAAAACAACCATCAAAATGAAAAGGGAACCTACTATATGGGATCCAAATTGAAAAGGAGGAATTGCCATAGATGCATCAGATAAAATACATAGAGTGCTCACACAACAACAAAAGGAAGACAAAGAACCCACTAACAAAATGGGTAGAGACATAAATAGACACCTCTCCAAAAAGGACAAACAAGCCCTGGCTGGTTTGGCTCAGTGGTTGGAATGTCGGTCTGTGGACCAGAGAGGCCCACGTTCAGTTCCCCCCTAGGGGCAAGTACAAAAAACAAACAAACAAACAAAAAAAAAAAAAAGGAGAAACAAATGGCCAAGAGACATATGAAATAATGTTTGAGGTCACTAATCATCAGAGAGATGCAAGTTAAAATAATTATGAGGTATCACCTCACACCTGCCACAATGGCTGCCATCAACAAATCATCAAATAACAAGTGCTGGCGAGGGAGTGAAGAAAAGGGGACTCTAGTACACTGCTGGTGGAATGCAGACTGGTGCAACCACTAGGGAAAAGAATATGGTGTTTCCTAAAAAAATTAACAATTGATCTGCCATTTGACCCAGTGATCCCACTTCTAGGAATATATCCTAAGAAGCCTGAAACACCAATCAGGAAGAATATATGTACCCCCATGTTCACAGCAGCACTATTTACAATAGCTAAGATCTGGAAACAGTCCAAATGTCCATCAACAGATGGGTGGATAAAAAAGCTGTGGTCATATGTACAATAGAGTACTATGTAGCTGTAAGAAAGAAAGATCTATTATTCTTTGAGACGACATGGAGGGACCTGGAGAACATTATGCTACACAAAATAAGCTAATCAGAGAAAGACAAATACCACTTGATCTCACTTATCTGTGGAATATAATAAACAAAATAAACTGGTGAACAAATATACCCAGAGACATAGAAAGGAGTACGGTTCAGACTGACAGACCTCATAGGAAGGGGTAAGGGGGATGGATGAGATGAACCAAAGAACTTATATGCATGTATGCGTAACCAATGGACATAGACAACAAGGCTTGGGGGGTGGGATGGGGAGGAGTGTGTCTTGGGGGGGAAAGGAGAAACATCTGTATCAAAAATAAATTAATAAAAATTGAGAGAAAAAAAAAAAGAGTTAAGGACAGAGAGGTTCATTTGGTTCTTTATTCCTCTCAACATCCAGATTATTAGATCATTTCCCTATTTGGAAAAGGTGTGACATATTGAATTTGGTCAATGTGAGAGAAAAATGTGGATGTTACATCAGAAATATTTTCCAGTAGGTTAAGCTGAAGTTTCTCTAATGTGACTCTTCTCCCAGGTTATAATCACTGGCATGGGTTTGGAGGTCCTCCTGTGAAAATTAACCTGGCAAAGAGAACATCTCCAGTTCTGATGAGAGTATTTAATTCACGTGGAGAGCAGCACAGGAGGTTCCATCAGCCAGCTCCCAGCGATTCCAGCAGGCTGGATCTGCCTCTGGCCTAAACCTCCATTTCTGCATTTCTTTCCATCTGTGGGTCTCTATGTTGTAACTCCACAAATTAAAATCACTTGGTGGGACTTTTTAGAATATATACTATTGCTGGAGCCTCACGTTCCATGGCTCCAGCTAGAGTGGCTGGTGTAGGGCTCAGACTTCAGTATTTCAAACTCTCCAGGTAATTACAGCAGCACTTCCTTAACTCTTTGCTAATGTCATGCTCATGGTAAGTTCTTATTAAATGCCAGTTACAACTGGTTATTGGTGTGCTGTAAATCAAATCAAGGTCATTACTTTTAAGTCTACTCCATTTAAAATAGATGCTATTTGTGTCTCTGAGAATTTTAACAGGGCTTTGAGCCATTTACAACCGATTCTATTGAGAATTCTGCAGTTTTTCACAGCTCAGTTTTATAGACTTCTACTAGTCATGTTATATTCAGTTACCTTGCCTCAACAAGAGAAAATGCCAAAAGTTAGCACTCCTGTTACAGAGAATGTATTCTGTCTTCCTATAACTTCTTCAATTCCAGCACTTAGCAGGAAGACATTTACCTTTTTATTTTATGCCTATGTATCAGAAAAAATAAGAATTTACAAGTGTGACACCAAACAATCACAGGTGGAAGACTGAAACAGGATTGCACACTTACACCGAAGGGTACTGTAGCTGTCACTCAACGCAGACTGACACTTAGGACAAACTTCACCCGACCATTCCTGTGACCTCAAGGAGAAGGTAACAGATTCATTAAAGAATGTTCCACAGAATTTCAAATGTCAAAATACAATGCAATCATGTTGAGAAACTCCTTCAAAATTAGTAATGGAAATTTCATAATACTGCTGAGAGAGAAAATTGCCAGTTTGCAATTATGCCTCTTTCTCCACAGGTATCCCTCATTACAGAAATGAGGATAACATCAAAGTAATGAGGTTCCTAAACAAGAGAGGAGTGAAACATAGGTGCACATGTTGAGGATCCACATTGTGAACAAAAATAGCTTTCTCTCTATTGTCATGATTTTAGTTTGCTTATAAATAGAGCAAACAAGCCCTGGCCAGTTAGTGTTGGCCTGCGGTCTGGAGAGACCCGGGTTCGGTTCCCGCTAAGGGCATGTACATTGATTGCAGTTTGTCCCCAGCCCTGGATGGGTTGTGCAGGAGGCAACCACTCGATGTGTCCCTTTCACGTTGATGTTTCTCTCTCTCTCTCTCTTCCTCTCTCTCCCTCCCAGTCTATCTGAACAAAAAATGGAAAAAATGTCTTTGGGTAAGGAATTAAAAAAAAAAAAAAAAAAAATAGAGCAAACAATATAAGAAAAGCAGAAGAGGCTTCTGATTTAAATTTTGTCTATTGATAAAAATGTATTTGAAAATGCTTCTCAATGCCAATCAGGAAGACTCCAGGAGAAGTCCCATTTCTAATGGCCTTGTCTGCTCTGGGAAATTCAAGTCCAGCCTCCTGGTCATTTACCGACAGCTGGACTTCCCACATACTGCCCTTCTGTCCCAGCTGCCCTTCTACATCCTCTCCCTGTGCCCTCTTCAATTTCTGTCTGATAATCAGAAAAGTTTTCTGTATCTTTCACATCCTCTTGGAATTCTCTCTTTACTTCCTACCCTCAAAAATTACCTGGAAATAAATACTACACACACACACACACACACACACACACTTAAATTCCCAAACTCAGGCTATGACCAAGACCAATCAATCATCAATCACAAATTCTAAGTATTTTTTGTAACACCCCAGGTCATTTCAATGTGTAATTTTGAGAACCAGTGATTCATCGGCTCTTTATCAGTTATATTCTCATACTTCAAAAATCTTTTCCTCTTCATGACAGATTCCTGGCAACACTCCAACCTTGATCAACCATGGCCTTTCAAAAAAAAAAAAAAAAAGTCACACAACCAAAAGGCTGATTCAACTTATAGTCTTGATTATAAATCTCAAATAAGCATTCAGTATTACCTAGTTATCCTACTATGGTTCTCTAGTATTTTTACACCTGGAGATGTCTATTTCATGCTTCTGTTTTTTTTCCTCAAAGCCTCTTACTCCTTCCACTCTCAAATGATGACCTCACTTAGCATATACAAGCTACTAAATATGAACACCTTTGCCTTCACACAGGTCCACTTACAACCGACCTGCATCTGTATCCAGAAACTGACTCAGAAACAGTAAGTGTAACTCAAATACATAAATGAATGAGCAAACAAATCAATGACTCCCACTGATTCCCGATTATTTCTGACACTTCAGTTTATGTGCTAACATTTGATGTCATAAGGTATGTTCATGTATTTTATAATTACTACATGAGTTTTTCATTTTCTGGACTACTGTGCTATATTATAGTAGTGATAGATTATTAGTTTATTGATTTAATGCTGCTAGTTCAGTATATTTTAAATGAGAAATTTAAATCATTTATATTTTGAGATAGACCCAGAGAGTTATAGGCAGCATTAAAATTTCAAATCGAATAAAGGTATACTCAATTAGAAAATGTAACACTATAATCACCAAGAGGAAGAAGAAAAATGACAACTGAGAAAGCAAAGCTTCTATTGCAAGAATAATTCTTACTTTAGCTCAAAGGCTTCCTGAACGAGTGGAATGTGAACATGATAGCACTTGAAGTGACTCAGGTCCCTCTGCAGTTGCATCTCAAGCTCCATGCGATGCAACTAAAGAGGGTGAAGTCAGAGTGGGGGAGGGGCCAACAAGTTCTCTGAAGCAGAGCTGGAGGCAAGGCTGGGGAGACTGTAGCCCTCACCAAGAAACAAAACAAACAAACAAAAAACAACGAAAACCTGAAGAAAAACAATATTGTTTAAAACAATTCTCTTAAAGTTAAGTTTGATTACAAGGAGCTTCTGAAAGGACAGAAAATTTTCACAAAAAGAGACTTGCAAATCAATGATGACATTTTAATGTACTTTATTATTTTAAATTCACATTTTAAAAAACTATTCATATTATTTCCTTTTCAAATTTATGACTAAATTTTCATTATTTTGTTTGAATAGCTAATTCTTAAAATTACATCCTACTTTGTCAATATTTTAAATTAGCAAGATATGTGCTTGATACTTAGATTTTAGTTTATGTTTGTATGTTAATATTTTAAATAAATACAATACTTAGTTTCTTCTCTTTTTCTACAATTCTAAACAGTCTTTTCTCAAAACTTATCTTTACTATTGAAAATATTACAGATGCCCCTCCCCCCTTTCAATCGGACAACCTCCATGGCCTTCACCTCACTATTCTAAGTATCAATGGGTTATGCATGTAAATTCTTTGGTTAATCTCTTCCCACCCCACCCCTTGTCTGAGGTTTGTCAGTCTGTTACATGTTTCCATGTCAGTGGAACTACTTTGTTTGTCAGTTTATTTTGTTCATTAGATTTCACATATAAGTGAGATTATGTGATACTTGTCTGTCTCTGACTGGCTTATTTTGATTAGCATCATCTCTCCAGGCCCCTCCATGCTGTCTCAAAGAAACTATTATCAATGCAATTATTTTGGTATTATATGGAATTATTACTGCAATGATCAGTATTAGCGTTTTTTTTCCAAGTAATTAGGATCATTAGGCATGGCAACCCACTAGCCTGACTGCCCAGCCTCTTAGAACAATTCCTGAGGAGTCACAATATGAGGCCATAAAACCACACCTTCTGCCTCAGAGAAGTGGATTAGAAAAGTTTAACATTTCCAGGACACAAGAAAACCACTGGAAAACTGGGCAAAATATAGTCCTATCCTCGCTTTCTTCTTCCAATTGTTTTAGCGTTTATCTACATGCAAGTAACATATATTCATTGAGGTCACCCTATCTGTAAAGCAGATTCTTTTCATCTTATATTTAACTATCAATTAAACATTCTTAAACAATCAATGGTTATAAGAAGATGCAAAGGCACACCCATATAGATTACTATCACACACTTTATTTTTCTAATCTGTATCCTTTTAGTTATACTGTTAATAGAGAAAAAAAATAAACCATCAGGTCTTTCTCACTGAAGAGTTTATGATTTTTATTTATTTTTAATAATTTAATTTTTTAATTTTCGAAAGTATTACAGATGTCCTCCCTTTTTCCCCATTGATGATATTTTAAAGTGGCTGAAAAACCACATTTTTCATTAAACTTGCCAATCAGTGGATGCTCTCTAAAATAATTTCCTTAGGTACCAGTTTTTCCTTTTATTTGAAGTTTAAGATTCTCAACTGACTTGGATCTCACCCTATTTCTCAAGTCCTGCTCCAGCTGAAAGCTTTACAGATGTCATCACATGGCTTCCTTCGCCCTTCCGGTGCAGGCTCGGCTGGCTGACGCAGCTCACATTTCACCAGCAAGCTCCTAACCTAGTTTTGACATATCAACATAACATTCTCTGCTGATCTCCATCCCTCTATCCAGTGCACGTACTACTATAATGGTGCTTGTCTCCTTACTTGTCTGTATTTCCTTTCAACTTTTGAGACCTTGAGGGAAGAACTATTTCCACCTTGGAATATCCACCACTTAGCAATGGCTGGTACCTAGCAGATACATATAAATGTCTGAAGCATGAAGGGATTTTATAAATTGTGTTAAACCACATTCTAGAATGTGTTATGAATATATTAAATTTACAGTTTAATTGATACATATCTCACTGACTTTTTAAATTGAACTCACCTATGTCAATCTACATTCTCTCTCTCTCTCCTCTTCTCTGAATTCTGTGCACAGGTATGCAAAAAAAAAAAAAAATGTTAAGTTGTATCCACTATGAAAGCAATTCCTGCACAGACACCATGTAAGATGATACATAATAAATAGTAAGTGATCAACATGACATTAGCATACCCTAGAAATAAAAAGTAACAACCCTGCAGGTGTGGCTCAGTTGGTTGAGGAACATCCCATGCACTAAAAGGTTGCGAGTTCGATTTTGGGTCAGGGCACATGCAGGGGCTCGATCTCTAGAAGGAGGAGGCAGCCATGTTTCTCTCTCTTTCGCCCCCTCACTTCTTCTCGCTCTCTAAAATCAATAAAACATATTTTTACAAAAGTAATTGAGGCAGCTCTCAGATCCCTCATATGTGAAAGCTAACTAAATAAGGTGTTTTCACAGCAACATTCAGTAAATGTCACTATGAATTAAACACAAAAATCATATTTACTCTTAGTGAGACTGACTGCAGAAATGACTTAATTTATCACATAATATCAACTGGGAAAAGGTTATTTTATTTTTAGTGAAAAATTATTACCTTTCTGGTATTTTATTTTATTAATTATTTTGAGAGAGAAAGAAAGATAGAGAGAAACATTGATAAGAGAGAAACATGGCTTGGCTGCCTTCTGCACACCCCACTGGGGATTGAACTTGCAACCTAGGCATGTGCCCTGACTAGGAATCAAACCAGTAACCTCTTGGTGCATGGGATGATGCCCAACTAATGAAGCCACATTGGCCAGGGTTACCTTTCTGATATTTTAAAGAGGAAATAAAGAAAATATTTTAAGAAATTTTTCTTGTAAACAATTTATCATCAGACAAGATCCAAAAGAAACCCTCTTAGAGGGACTTGGAACATCAGCATTCAGGACTCATATTAAATGGAACTAATAATATTAAAAATAGTAATTGTAAATTTAATTTTAAATTAAACTCATATTTAAAATGAAGTTAACTATGATCTCTGTGTCTGGTTATATTCTGAAGCCTGTCTATGTATTAAATCAAATCACCTTCAAAACACACCTCTGAGGCAGGCACTACATTTTAACCAGTGAGCACATGAAGGCACAAGTGATACTGCATCTTACCCAGTCGCACAGGTCAAAAGCCTGGATTCCCATTCAGACACTTTTCTTAACCACTATGCTCTATTTTTCCTTAAAATATATTAAGTAATTATTAATATCCATTGCTAATCTACATATTGATCTAAGAATAATTTTTCTATTAATTTCTCAAATTGGAAATTATAAGAAAAAGACAACCAATCAGTTGCTCCCATTTTCTAGTTGTACAAAGTTAGCATGACACTTGGTCTCGGCTAGAGGCAGCTTTAGCAAAATGAGACTCGTAACGTCTACCTAGCATACCTTAGAACTCCTTTCACACCTGGCTTCTTTTAGTTATAGTGTAAAAAAAGAAAAACTTGTCCTGGCCAGTTTGGCTCAGTGGTTAGAGCATGGCCCTGTGGTCTGGAGTGACCCGGGTTCGGTTCCCGCTAAGGGCACATACCTTGGTTTCAGTTTGTCCCCGGCCCTGGATGGGTTGTGCGGGTGGCAACCACTCGATGTGTCCCTTTCACGTCGATGTTTTTCTCTCTCTCTCTCTTCCTCTCTCTCCCTCCCACTCTATCTAAACAAAAAATGGAAAAATGTCCTCGGGTGAGGATAAAAAAAAAAAAGAAAAACTTTATAAAGATTAAGTAAGATGATGCATATAAAAATGTTTTAGAATGTATCGAATGCTATGTCAATATAAACTCTTACAGTCAGTGATATTAAAATATAAAAATAATTTAGGCATCTCTGCTTCCTTCATCTATATTTTATTTTTTTATGTGACTATATGACAGAACAGAAAATATAAATGTATTTATTCATTACCAATTAACATAACTCAGCAAATCAAAAAGTTCATAGCAAATGTTCCTCTGCTTTAATCAGAGAAAAGTAATTTTTTTAAAACTCAAATTAGTAGTACATAAGACAAAAACAAACAAAACAGAACAGCTAAACTGGTATCTTTCTTACAGAATCCATTATTTATCTTAATGATTTTTTTATAAGGGAACATATTTAAATGCCTACCAAATTTATGGAAACATGGCTTAATTATAAAAGTAAAAAATGTGTTGCTATTTTACTCGTTTTAATTCATTCTTTCTCTATTAGAGGGAAATAAAATTAAAATTCCAGACAGCTAACAAGTTTAAAAATGTCTAAAACATGACTAAACAACCATGTTGCTCCTCAGTCTTGAAGAATTTCTTATTTTGATTTTTAAAAAATATTAATCTCTTATATGCCACTTAAAAAAAAAAATTACTTTCCCTGAAAGTACAACAGACGATTGCAACTAATGAACTAGTGCTAAAAATATTACATACAGGTAATATTCTCTCTCTATGTCTATGACTTGATATCCTTTCTCAGAAAAATGTGAAAGCCTTGTGATATGCTCGATTACTGTGTAAGTTGCTACTAGTTCATGGAGATACAATCGTGAATACGATACAGATGACCTCTATTTTCACTGAGTTTTAATTATATCAAGGAAATCGTATGTTGAAGTTTTTCAAGTATAATTTTGTTCTGTGTCATGAAAGGTAATATACAGTACTATCCAATGTAAAATAGAGAAACTAGCACAGTTGGAGGCTTCAGGAAGGCCTCCTACAGGATGTGAGAGCCGCAGATAAAGGATTCGGTCAGGTAAGGGAGGGAGTGCTTGACTGGGATGATTCCAAGAGTGAGAAGTGACACATGGAGAGTTCAGAGTGGAAGAAGGCTGATACATTAAAAAACCGAAAGAAGGCTTGCTTGGCTTCAGCCAGCCCACCAATGGGGAAACCCATGGGATATATTCATGCGAGGCCTAAAAGGAAGCTGGAGGACGCTGTGATCATTGAAGCCACTAGGCAGAACTGTGATATAATCAGGAAATGGAAAAAATACATATTCAAAGTCATGGTAGCTCGTGGGGAAATATAAAACTAATCAACAATCAGAAATTAAAGCCATCAGGAAATCATTGATTTTAAAGTTAGAGATATGTAAGATTTACATAAGATAGATACTCAAAAAAAAAAAAAAAAGTGATATATTGGCCCAGCCAGTGTGGCTCACTGATTGAGCGCTGACCCATGCACCAAGAGGTCACTGATTTGATTCCCGGTCAGGGCACATGCCCAGATTGTGGGCCCCATTCCCAGTGGGGGGCATGCAGGAGATGGTCTATTGATGTTCTCATCGATGTTTCTATCTCTCTCCCACTCCCTTCTTCTCTAAGATCAATAAAGAAAAATATTTTTTTTAAAGTGATATATTAGAGTTAAATATTAGAAGCCATTTATTTCAAGGACAAAAGTAAGAATGAAACTGCAAAGGACCTTTGAGACCTAAATCAAAGAATAACTTCAAAATTATATTTGATACCATATGATCAATTTAAGGACATTATAGAGAGAAATACTAAAAATGTGTCTATTGATCGTGTTAGTATTGAAAGTTTCATGAGAAGAGTTTCCAAAAGAGAATAGACATTTGGCCTGCCCTAGGTTGAATACAGTTATTGTGAGATTAATATATATATTTCATAAGGTTTATGAAATTTCTGGATCCTCAGGGAAAATATTGACCAAGACCCAGGAAATAGTTCTCATTATGAACTTTCATCAGACATTCCTTACTTGAAAGTTATCAGTATTAAATTCACTAGGTTCATTAAGTCTGTCATCCACAAATAGTTTTGTTTTATGCTGATGCTTGCCTGGAGGCTGTCATATGCTACAGGCTAGAACTGTCTTCAACGAAGGAGGAAAGTCTCAGGAAAAGGAGCCCATTAGTTACTTCCTACTTTGATACCCTTAGGTACAGACTTCGGAGTTTTAAATTTATTAAAGTAGTCATGTATTTAAAACTTTTTTGATGGAAAGATGGCAGTGGGCAGGACCAGAGGGAGGGTGAGTGCGTGAGAGAGTGAGCGAGTGTGTGAGAGAGTGTGAGTGGACCCGAAGGTGGCTGACCAAACCCGAGCAGTGCAGGGCCTTGGAGCAGAAGGTTCCTGTGCTGTGGACGGAGCAGCTGGCTACCACGGTGAGCGGCCCTTCAGGGCGCTTCTCCCTGCACCACAGGGAGGCCCCACCATTTAGGAAGATCCAGGGTCTTCCCTGGGAGGAGGCAGTGGGAGCAACTAGGGCCCAGCAACCTGAGCCCACCAGTGCACCTGGAACCATTGGAACAGCGGGTCCCCTGTGTCAACACAGACCAGTGCACAGTAGTGCTGTCAAGGTGCCTGTTGCAGAAACCATAAATGGCCAGGAGTCCAGCACCATCCCCCACAGCAACAACCCAATCAGAGTCGAGATATACCCCCAGCAACAGAGGCTGGGGAACAGAAATCCAACCCCAGGCAACAGAAGCACAGACCAGCAGCTGAGACCCATCCCTCAAAACTATAGCAAAGGCTGAGCAGGAGCTGAGCCCCACTAGGCAGCAGCACTCCCCAGCCGCCAGCGGCGGGACCTGGGGCTCCACAGAGGCCTGTGTTACCCAGGGGCCCACAGAGCAGCGGGAAGCCGGAGCCCAAGAGGGACCAGTGTGATCTAGTTGCCTGCTGAACTTGTGGGGTGCTGGGGCACCAGAGAGGCAACTTAGCTGCCCACCAGATAGGCGTGAAGTCGGGTCTCCAAAGGGACTGTGCCATCCAGCTGCCCACGAGACCTGCGGGGTGCTAAGGCACAAGAGCGGCCTGTGCAACTTAGCTGCCCACAAGATAGGCATGGAGCCGGGTCTCCAAAGGGATTGAGCAATCCAGCTGCCCATGGGAACTGCAAGGTGCTGGGGGCACCAGAGAGGCCTGTGCAACCCAGATACCCACAAGATAGGTGTGGAGTCGGGTCTCCAGAAAAACTGTGCAATCCAGTTGCCCATGGCATGGGCAGGGAGCACAACTCCAACAGGGTCTG